GATAGAGCCATCAAAGAAGACGGATGGATGAACGGATGGACAGAAAACGATGGCAGTCGAAATGCGAGAGGCGGCAGAGGCTGTAGGAACCTCGCTTATATATATATATATATATATATATATATATATATATATATATATATATATATATATATATATATATATATATATATATTAATTCCAACATTTTTTTAAAAATAAAATAAAAAAGTGGAATAGTAGGCGGTACTGTTGACTATAGTTGGACAATTTTCAATTAAAGGTGACTAATCTACAAATTGAACTAAACGGTAGCGGCAACCATGTAAAATGTCAGCAGTAAATTCTTACTGGGGTCATTTTTATTGTGTATGCTTAGCCCATGTAAATAAGTGGAAAAGTAAGATAGTCCCCATAAAATTTGCCACCGTAAAAATATAAATTGGACGATTCACGAGTGTATAGTGAGACAGGTTCATTGAACAGTTTGAAACATCGGTAAACTTATTAATATTTTGATGGTCTATATATATTTACGTTCTTAGAAAGAATGGGAATGAGAGAAATATGATATTTTTGTTTATTACTTCCACAATATATCTGTGCATAAGCGTAGTGTGTTCTATTTCTTGGGAATATATTTATTAAATAGACTTTATTATTAACTTTAAAATAGTTTTGACGTAAGTAAAGTACATTTGAGGCAAGTTAATTATTTATATAGTATTAACCCATTGACGGCTTCTCAATATACAAAGCGAAATTTAACAATTAATTTATTAGATTTGATTCAAAACACATAAATTAAGACCAATTTATGTGTTTATACATAAAAGTAAATTAAATTTTTAGGTGAAAATTTTCGAAACATTTGGGGTGTAGATGCTTTTTAGCACAGGGTGTAACACACCTTTTACATACATAAATAGTATTACTTTTGCACATCCTACATTCTTGCACTATCGTCTCTTTTTCTAATGTGGCTAATACTGTCGAATCTGGTTTCATCTGATAAAGCAAATTTAGATTTACGTCCATGTACTAAGTTTGACACCGATGTAGTGGTTTCTTTACTATAATAAATTGTAAATATAAACCTATGTCGGCTCATGCTTTCTCTTATAATGTGTACTTCTTTATTACCATACTTTGACCAATGCATATCAACTTGAAGCAGAGTGTGAACCAGATAATATACATATGCTAATAATTTTGTTTTAAATCTATGTTATTCATTTCAAAATCGTGACGGATATTCTACGATGCATAAATATTCGTAAATATAGACTGCCCTCAATGACTTATGGCTTGCCTTTATGGTTGGCTTTTATATTGTCTAAATATTAATCAGACTGATGTTGAATTACTACTGAACACGAAGAAGTATCTGTTGTTACAACTTGAGACAAATTTGGATTTACTATTTTTGCCTAGTTTTTTCTTTAGACGTTTTATCTGTGGTTCAGAGGAATATCATAATCAGAATCGTCAGAATTTCCTATTACTTGTCTTTCATATGTACCTGCAATATCTAATTTTATTGATTCTTCACAAATAATATTATCAACAATGTCTTCTACATCAGAATCTTTCTAATCTTATCTCGGCGGCAAATAAACCACATTAAATAAGTCGGCATTTTCAAAATCTGTCACACAAGTCTTGTTCTAACAAAGCTATTAACTCTTTAGTAGTTAGTGCCATCTTCATTTCATATTTCGATAATTTACTGAAATAAACAAATGCACTACTATATACACGCATTCACATGATAATAGTTTAGATTATTTCATTTTAATTTATATGAACTTCATAATATATTTTTATATCTATATAAACAAAAAACCGTTTTTAAACGAATAAACGAATAAACGAAAAACGTTTACAGCACATAGCAATTCTATAAATAGACAATGATGTGTAATGACGAGATCGTATGTTAAAATATCAGATTGTTTTAGTCTATTGAAAAAAAAAAATAAGTATTTTCCAAAGTTTTCCATTGTTTTAAATTCTGTATTAGGTACTCTCTAATAAGAATAAAATTTTACTTTATTTTGTTAGACAACTATAAGATACCTGCTAAAAAACACATAATAATTTAATAATTATATCAGTCTTAGATTTAATTTTTACGTAATTACTTATGTGTCTAAATAAATAATTAAAATTTTTTTGGCACGCCTCTGCAAAATTAATAAGTGGAATATTAGGTCAGGGAAATAAGCAAAAAAAGTACCCTGTTTTTGACACTCGTCCGGCCAGGCAAACGACAGTTGTTTTGAGTAGTATGGACCTCTGTAACAAAAACCTATATGTTTCCTGCAGTCGATTTTTTGGACTAAATTAGTTATTAACAAATTAAGGTCAAAAAACGGAAAATTTTTGGTTTTTTTCGTCTATCAGCAAAAAGTGAAGCAATTTAAACAAATTTTAGAAGAGGGGAAACTTATAAGTTATATAAAAACCTTCAAAATGGCATATTCAAAATGTTTCTATCCTTATTTGTTGCTTAGAAAGTTGCAAAATAAATAAAAAATTTCGGTTTTTTATAAATGTTAATACCTTTTTTGAAAATAAACTTATAATATTTATATTTTATGGAATGATGCGTCTTGTAGTGCTTAAAATAGGATTATAATTTCAAAGTGATCGGTCCAATAGTTTAAAAGTTATTTTATTTGTTTATCTCAAATTAACATTTTTTGCAACAATATAAGTCAGAAATTTATACAGTTTTAGTAATTCAAGGGGTAGTTTCTGGTAGAAAAAGATTTGTTTAAATATTTACATTAAAAAAAATTAAGAAAATTAATTTTAAATATTGCAAAATAATTTTGCAAAAACATGTCGATTCTTTGCTTATAAACAATTAGAATAACTTTTTAACCAATAAATGTAAATATATTATTTTTATATATTTAAAAAGCCTGCATTTTTTCACAAATTTAAATAAAAAAAAGTTTGTCCTAGAATAATTTGGTACAAAGTTAGCCTCTTTTTTTATTTAATACATAGCACCTTTGTTTATAACACGTAAGAAATCTAATTAGCGCCATTTGAAAGAATATACTTTATAGTTTTAAAGTACTAAATTTTAAAAATATTGCCCTTTAATGGAATCGTCCACAACGCTTCAAAATGTATGTACAATCGTTCGGCTTTGAAACTCTCGGGAGCTGAATGGAGGGGGAAAGCGCTGTTAACTGTATCTCTGTTCCTTTTATATGTATTTCAACGTTTCTTTTTGAACTTGTATGTACTTTTTGCGTACATTATGAATATGCATTATTTCAATAAATAAATTGTTAAATAAACCACCTAATTGGTTTAAAAACAATTTTTTTAATTTTTTTTTTAATGTATTAGTATTAAGTTAACGTTTGAATCTAAAACAGAAGTATTTGTCATTTTTAACTTTATTTTAAGCACTTCAAGACACACCATTCCAGGAAATATAAATATTATAAGTTTATTTTCACAAAAAAATTATTAACATTTATATACAACCGAAATTTTTGACTTTTGCAACTTTCTAAGCAACAAATAAGGATAGAAACATTTAGAAAACGCCATTTTGAAGGTTTTCATATAACTTATGTTTCCTCTCTTCTTAAATTTGTTTAAATTGCTTCACTTTTTGCTGATAGACCAAAATAGAGATAGAGATAGAGCAAAAAATTTCCGTTTTTTGACCTTAATTTGTTAATAACTAATTAAGTCAAAAAAATCGACTGCAGGAAACATATAGGTTTTTGTTACAGAGGTCCGTACTACTCAAAACAACTGTCGTTTTCCTGGCCGGACGAGTGTCATGAAAAAATGCTTATTTTCCTGGGCTATATGATTTCGTTGAAAAGTTATCGTTAAGGATTTCGTTAAGTGCGATGTTGCCAAGTAATCACCTTCAATTAAAAATTGTTTTAGTATAGCGAGAAGTTTCGTACTATGTTTTAAGTATTTTTAAAATTTAAATAATATATTTAAAATTAAATAAAGTAATTTTATTATTATTTTTTTATATTTTAAACAAATTTAATAAATTATTATGTTTACTCCTAACGCCACCTGTTATCGTATTAGCAAAGCATACGTTGTTTACTTATGACAAACACGTCAAATTCGGACCAAATATTATTAATAAAATATAAATAAATATCATTTAATAGTATTTTTAATTATGATGAACTAAATAATATGTTTAAAAATAATAATTGTATTTTTATAAAATTATTTTACAACGAAACTTTTTATAACAATTTAAACACATGATTCAATGTTGTTATTAATCAGATGACATTTATGTCATGTATTATTTACTTCTCATGTATTATCTATGTGGTTAGTTATTTTTCATGCAGTTTTTAATTTTAACCTGATTAGAGTATTTATTGATGACTAAAAACGAATTGATCAAGAGTAATGAATCGATGTCAAGAACAGCTATTCTATGACGCTACCCGTGACGATGCCATCTTGTGGCACTAGTTCCGTGACGCTCATCTCTGCATTTTACTGTAGAAAAAATTAATACAATGCCAGTATACAAGCTTCGCTTTAAAGTTTGATAACTTCTTAATAACATTTATTGTTATTAAAGTTACAAAATCTGGAACTAAAATATTTTCTATATAACATTCATAACTATTTTCTACATAACATATATATCTATTTCGCAGATGTTCATTTATGATCATAGATGACGTCATTACCCTATCGACAGTATTGCTCAATTTACTGTGATACATTTTCTAAATTCTTAATAATATTTGGATTGTGAATGCGATAACAAACTAGTATGATATAAAAGTTTGTATGCACCATGGATATTAATAGAAGTGTATACCCTCGGGCGCCTTACAAACACGAGGGCCTTCGGCCTGAGTGTTTGTAAGATAGTCATGCTCGGGACTTAACATCTACTTAATTCCCTTGGTACATAAATAACTCATTTTGGAACGTACAAGTTCTTTTCCTTTGAAAGCCATATCTGTTTAATTTTAACATATATAAATTTTTAGCACAAATGAAAAATCCATCCTCGATGGAGTTGCAACACAAGATCCAGACAATGCAGCCAAATTTATATTAAATTTGACCAATCCAATAGGTTAGTATATGCCTGTTTAATAGGAAAGTTTTTTAGTTTACAATAGTAATTTAGTAATTTATGTAACAGGTGTACCACCAAAGTGGTACTTTTTTTCAGGAATGAAAACATTAACCCCACGAACCGTCAGACGGGTGCTGCAATTCTATGAGTGAAATAAGACACTTTATTTATGTGTTCCATACAATTTTTTTTCTACAACCCTATACAAATAATAACAACTAAATTAGGAATATTTGAATATTGAAAACATATTTGTTTGATATACTGGTATTTTTTATCCAGTCAAATTCGTTTATATTTGATTCATGTATATAAACCCTAATTTAAAATTTGAATATTTGGAATAGTCCAAAAATATTCTATGTTTGATTCTCATAATCTGATATTAAAGGTTGGCTAAATGATGTTAATGGTTCACTAAAAATACTGCTCATGTTAGCTTATTGTAAAATTCGTAAAACACAGATAATTTTTATATTGAATGAATTGTTCACTTATGCTTCTGCAACAGCAGTATATTCCGATCTTTCGATCGCTAAAGTTAGAATCTTTCAACTTTTTATGGGCCATTAACCATTTTATCAGAGTTTTAAATTGAATTTGCACGTGTAAACCCTTGTGTTTTGTGGTTATTTTAAATTATATTTATATATTTTTACATAAATATAATTTATATATCAATTATATATTTTTTATATTCATTATTATAATGTTATTTGAAATTAAATTTTTTTTAAATTTGTGATTCAGTTCACGAGGTAAAAAATGGAGTTCCCAGGACATTGTATCAATCCAGTTTCTAATCCAAATTCGACCTTTCTGCTTATCATTTCTTGTCTTTTCCACACGGCTAATTATCTCTTCAACAATATTTTTTAGAGTTAAACGACACCCTACACAGACTCCAAATTTTATTTCCTCGATGAACATATTACTATTAAATACACGACCCCGAAAAGTCGGAATTGAAAAGAATATTCCACTGTGCAAACTTAAAAATGAAACTGGCGTGCCAAAATATTCTGTTTTGTAAACTTTCACTGGCGTGCAAACAGGACTGGCGTGGCCACTAGCGCTAGCCAATCCATGCGGGTATAAACTCGCCTTAAGATAATCGTAAAACGCCAACTTGTATACGTTTTCAAATCTGAAATTGTGTTGAGTAGAAATGGTCGCTTATTTTTAGTGCCATTTTATTCCCAGTAATAAAGCAACCACTTCAAGAAATCAGGTGGACAGGTAGTGCTAGCCCAGAAAAAAAAAAAACTACACTCTCTACTACAGCGGAGATAAAAATACTCATATTTTTCTCGTGGGATTCAGACTGAATAAACGATTGTAATCAGAAGTCATAGTCCATGAAGAATAAGTCCAAGGATATGTAGAATCCGAATTAAAAGCAGGTTCTTTAATTACAGCATTATTAATATCCGTGCTCCCACTGAAGACAAAGAAGACGAGGAGAAGGACATATTTTACGAGAAAATGGAAAGCACTTACAAATAATGTCAGAACAACGACATAAAAATTAGTATTGGTAAATTTAACGCTAAAGTCGGCCAAGAGACTATTTACCGACCCACGATCGACGAGCATAGTCTTCATGCTGTCAGCAACCACAATGGCTTACCCCTAGTTGAACTCGCAGCATAATTGAGAATGGTGGTAGTAAGTATATGTTTTCGTCACAATAATATTCACAAAGCCACATGGCAATCACCAGACGGTCAAAAAAAACCAAATTGACCATATACTAATTGATAGTCGACATTTTTCAGATATACTAGATGTAAGAGCATGTAGAGGTGCTAATATACACTCTGACTACTACCTTGTAAGAACAAAACTTAGGGCTCGTATATCAAACGCTAAAATCTGAAGACGCTAGGGATAACTACAGAAAATTTTAAATGAAGAGCTGACAAGAATCGACGAAAATTTAAGTATAGAAAAACATTAGACCAAATGCAAGGAAGGTATCCATACAGCGGCTAAAGGCTTTTTGAAACCTAACCAGGCAAAAATAAACGAAGGTTGGTTTGACGAAGAATGTAGATCCATTAACTAACAGAAAAATGAAACATATTAAAGACTTCAGCAGCGCAAAACGGGATTAAACCTGGAAGACTATAAAAATCTTAGACGATAAGAAGCAAAAACGTTAAGAAGGAAATAGAAAGAGCCATATAAATCGCTCTAAACGAGATTATTAACCTCCACAATAGAAAAGACTCGCCATCATTTTACCAGAAGATAAACAGCTGCAGAAAAGAATTCAAACCCAGAATAACAGCATGTAAAGACAAAGATGGTTCCATAATTAGTGACAAAGAAAAGATACTAAACAGGTGGGCGAATCATTTCGAAGAACTGTTTAGAAACAGTTGTGAAGAAGACCAAATAGAAATTACGTTGCCTGAAATGGATGAAAACGCTCAAGAGCCGCCCCCTACCGAAGAAGAAATTAGAGAAGCCATTTCAAAACTGAAAAATAGCAAAGCCACTGGTTTGGCCAATACTTCTACTGAACTCTTTAAAAATGGCAGTGACAGCCTTTTTTAACACATGCATAAATTAGTAATCGAAATCTGGCAACGGATATGAAAGGGAGATATGATGGTATGTGATAATTATACTACTTAACGTGGCATATAAAGAATTGTCCAACGTATTGTACAGAAGATTGAGCCCCTATGCTGAACAAATAGTTGGGAACTACCAGTGCGGTTTCCGACCCAATAAATCAACAGCAGATCAAATCTTCACAATCAGGCAGATTCTTGAGAAAACGCTTGAGTTCGGAGTCGACACCCACCACATGTTCGTGGATTTCAAAGCCGCATACGACTCAGTCAACAGACAAAATCTTCTACAGGCTATGGTGGAATTTCAAATGCTGCTTCATCTTGTTCAGCTAACGGAACTTACACTCACAGGCGTAGAGAGTGGAGTCAGAATCCAAAACGACTTTTCAAGACCCTTCCATTGCAAAAATTGACTGAGACAGGGAGATGGACTGTCATGTTTCTTATTTAACCCTGCACTAGAAAAAGTAATTCGACAGTGCCATATTAATACAAATGGCGCCATTTTTAATAAACCTGTACAAGTGGTTGGACATGCAGATGACATAGATATTATTGCTAGATCCACAGAATCTCTGATCGAAGCATTTCGATCATTAAGGGCGTCTGCACTGAGAATGGGTTTAAAAATAAACGCACAGAAAACCAAATATATGTATTGTACTAGATCAGGCAACCAGATACCTAGACTATTAATTGATGATCTGGAACTATAAGGTGTGGACACCTTCATCTACCTGGGCTCGCTGGTGACCAAAGACAACAATGTCAGCGAAGAAATTAACAGAAAAATAGTGCTTGCCAATAAGTGCTATTATGGCTTGAGGAAACAGATGCCCCAAACCTACCCAGAAAAATTAAGTTACTATGTATAAAACACTAATAAGGCCAGTGTTAACACACGGGTCAAAAACGTGGTCATTTACACAGAACGACCAAGAATTGCTTGAACGTTTCGAGAGAAAAATTCAAAGAAAAGTATATGGAGGACTCCAAGAATAGGGTTTGTGGCGTAAACGCTACAACTTTGAGTTATACAGAAGTATTGAGGAACCTGATGTTGTAAAATGTATTAATTTAGCACGCCTTTGATGGATAGGACATGTAATTAGGAGAGATGAAGATGCAACGATCAGAAAAATTTTTAACCGAAGAGGACCAGTGGGAAGACGATTAAGAGGAAGACCAAAACTTAGGTATCAAGATAACATAAAGCATGGAGAAGAGTTGCCAGAGACAGGGGCGAATGGAAGGTTGTTTTAAAGAAGGCTTTGGCTCATAACGAGTTGTAATGCTACTGATGATGTGGAATAAAGCAACCTACGAAGTTATAAACTAAAAAATATTTGTCATCTGGAGCACTGAATTAAAATTTATATATTTCCTCCCTCGACAATACAGTAGACTTTTAAGAATATTTGCTTATGTCTATATTGTCTTAATACTTAAGGCTGCTTTAAATTTATGTATCATAGATAGACCATAATTTGAAATATTTGACTTTTCTAGACCTTTCTTCAAAAAAGCTAACTGCACTTCCTCTTTTAAGCTGTGGATACTATTTGGTTCCGCCATTTCATAAAAGTATTATTTTAAAAGTATTCTTTTAGATAATTTTCATTGTGTTTCTCTGGTAGTAAATGTAAGGCTCGATACACGAGCAAGCAGCATGCGCTTGGCTTGTTTGTTTTCCAGCAATACCACAGTTTAACCACAAACCACAAACCACAAAGTTTCTTTTTTATACTATGGCAATACACATTGAGCGGTTTCTCGACGTCTTCAGTCTCATTACGCCTTAAGAGCAGCATGAATGATCAAATTCAACGTGTTGTATTTGCGTTTAATCACTATTTATGTAATAGAAAACAAGTATGTGGTTCCTTTCTTTTTAATCCTGTCACGCTAATATTCTGATTGAATTTTAGCAGCAATAAACTGTTCTGTATTCACGTTGAAATCCATCCCGCGGTCAATGTGTATTCACTGATTGCCTAGCACAGACTGGTTCCTTCCGGTCTTCGCCAGTAATGGACTATCTAAGTCTGACGTCACAATGGGTGACAGTTTAAAAAACCTTTCCAAACATTGCTAAATTGTGTGTATTTGTCTCATAAGAAGTTGGAAATACTGGTTTTAATTGTTTGCAGAATAAATAACGACTTTTGGTTTCGAACATTCATAACTTTAAAATATAAATATTCATAGAAAATATTTTAATCTTTTGATATTTTTACCTTACAAATTCACGAACAACAAATAATACCAATCGTACAGAATCAATGTTCATAACCAAAAGTCCTTATTTATTCTTAAAACAATTAAACAAACCAAATTTCCAACTTCTTATGGGAAAAATTCACCAAAAAACCTATGGCATAAAATTTCGGTTTTAATTTTGGTACAAATGTGAGGAATTCGAAATATGCCTAAAAATGGCGAACTTTAATTTTCACATTACAAACGATTAAAATAAGTTAAAACTGTTTTTTTTTATTACTCGATTACACGAGTACATTTTTATAAACTACACTACTTCAGCTACAAATTTCACCACATTCCGTCTTCATGGAAGTATTTTCCGTGACATGCAATATTTTTTAATTTGAAAGTTTAAATCCAGCGTTTTTTAGGCATATTTTAAATGCCTCACATTAGAAAATTGGACTTTAAGAATGAAAATTCTGTAGTGACCTATTCGTGGAAAAGTGACACATTTTATTGATCTCATGAGAATTGTAAAAAATGGCAAAACTTGCACAACGTTTATTTATTGAAACCGATTTTAATTATAACAAAATACAAAAATTGCATAAGCACACTTCACCATTAAAATAATTTTTGATTTTTGTCGATGGTATACTCTTATTAAAAGATATCGAAGTTTCACCATCGAATTGATACATCCTGATACAGTACTTACTCAGGACAATATGCTTATTGAGAAACTTGAGGAATTATCATCCCTTGAAAATCTCATTGTTGTTGGAGATTTCAATTTTCCAGAAATAAGCTGGCCCATTATTTCCAAAACTGATACTATCAATTCTCAAAATTTGTTTAAAAACTTTATCATGAACTCAAATTTATTACAACTGATAACTGAACCTACAAGGTTTAGAGCCAACAATAATCCTTCAATTTTAGACTTATTTTTCACAAATGACGATGAATTAATTTCTTCACTTGAAGTGTCCTCTCCTGTGGGTCTTTCTGACCACTCGCTTATTACTGCTCACATTCAATTTAGTTTAACACCGCCTTGCAAAAATAATTTCGTAACGTATGCCACTACTAATTTCATTGATGTAAATTCAGTTTTATCCCAGTTAAACTGGCAATCTATTTTTTCTAATCACTCTGATCCATCGTCAATGTGGGACTCTTTTCTTCATACTGCTATTACAACAATTTCTGATCATACAACCGAACGGCAGGTATATAGAAATCGACTAAAACCTTGGATTAACCTCTCAGCTACTCATTTAATTCGACATTAGCGAAAGCTTTGGCGAAGATATAAACTCACTAGTTCCCCTGATGATTTTTTCGCCCACCGTAATTTTTCTAACCGAGTCAAACAATCTTTGCTAAAGTTAAGAACAGAATTTGAAGAATCTATCATTGCAAGTGGTAATAGTAAAAAAGTTTATCGGTACATTCGTACATCTTTATCTTCTAAAGTTTCCATACCATTGCTTCAAAAAGCTGATGGGTCTTTATGTTCTTCGAATAACGAATCTTCGGAATGTTTATCGTTATTCTTTTCTCAAGTTTTTACAGATGAATCTAACGATACCATTCCTCAAATAATGTGCCCTCGTTTGTCTAAAACTCTTGAAAATATATCTTTCACACCGGATGAAATTAAACATCATTTAAGGAAACTGCGAAATAATTCATCACCTGGATTAGACGGACTCACCTCTTTTTTCCTCAAACAATGTGCAGATTCTGTCGCCATCCCTATATCTCTCATAATGACTGCTTCTTTTAATCAAGGTTCCCTCCCCTCGTCCTGGAAATTGGCTTCTGTTACTCCTGTATTCAAGAAAGGTAATAAACTTGATTGCAATAATTATCGTCCAATCAGCCTGGTTCCTATTGTCGGCAAGGTCATGGAATCGATTATTTCGGAAGCTATGTCCGAGTTCCTTCTTCAAGAAAATGTCATCCCTCACCAACAGCATGGATTTATCAAAGGTCGTTCAACGATCACAAACTTACTTCATTGTGTATATGATTGGTCATTATCTTTAAACAATCGGAATCCTGTCGATGTAGTTTACTTAGACTTCTCCAAAGCTTTCGATCGTGTTCCAAAACGTCGATTACTAGCTAAATTGGATCACTATGGTATCCGCCGAAAGTTAAACATTTGGATACAAGATTTTCTATCCGACAGATACTTCAGGGTTCGTGTTGGGGAAGACCATTCACTAGATAAGCCTGTCAAGAGTGGAGTTCCACAAGGATCAGTACTTGGACCGCTACTTTTTTGTGTCTACACTAGTGATCTTCCGCTCATTGTATCCAGTAAGGTTTCCATTTATGCTGATGACACAAAGTTATATGCGAATCCAACTATTAACCAACATATTCTTCAACAAGATCTTGACGCAATATTCAAATGGTCCTCAGAATGGTTACTTCCGCTTAACATTGAAAAATGCGTTGTTTTACATATCGGCAAAAATAACCCATCACTGCCGTACTTTATTAATGGACATCCTTTAAACTCTGTAACCTCACACAACGATCTCGGAGTGATAAATAATAGTGACTTAAATTGGTCTGATCACATAGTGTCGGTGTGTAAACGTGCTAACTCGAAACTGTTTTTGATCCGTAAATGTTTTGCACGCATATCTCTAACCTCTGTTGGTAAACTTTACTCAATATACGTTAGACCTATTCTTGAGTTTGCCGGACCAGTGTGGAATCCAGATCTTAGTCGCGATAAAATCCTACTTGAAAACGTTCAGCGTAAAGCTACAAGACTGGCATACGGCCGTGTAAGACCTAACTATGAAGATATACTATTCATGGCTCATCTTACGACATTCGAGCAGTGACGTCTTCGATGTGACCTAATTATGTCCTTCCGTATTTTAAAACATAATTTTGGGAACCTAAACAACATATTTACTTTGAATGAAGACGATAGAATAAGAGGCCATCGATACAAATTAAAGAGGAAACAAACTACTGCAAGGTCAAGGGCGAACTTCTTGCCAAACAGAATCTTTAATATCTGGAACAATTTGGATCATGACACCATATCGGCAGCTAGTGTTAACATCTTTAAAAATAAACTTGACAGCACTTTATTTTTTTTTTATAGGATAGGATATTTTTTCTCGGACAGCATTATTTATTTATTTATTGTGTCACAATTCAATTTTTGTTAATTTGTTTAACTGTACTTAACTTTATAATTAGTATTAGTTTTATAAGGATATATTTTATTTTGTTTATTTTTGCTTTTTGGGCATAATAGGAGCTCGCTCCTCTGCCCTTATTTGTTATATAATAATAATAATAATAATAAATTTTATTTCGTCGCTTTAAGCGATATTTTTAAGAGAACGGGTTATTATACACAAAACACATTTTTGTTCATAATTGTCTCAGCTACATTTTTTATTTGAACTATTTTTTCTACAACTCACAGATTTTCGGTTATGAATTTATATATTTCTATTTCTATTAATATGTTTTTAAATAGTTGATTATTTTCAGATTTAAGCGTACCTTTTTGGATTCTTGGGACAGACTATACAGGATTTTCTGTGGGTTTCTCTTGTTCTGAACAAAATAATGTTACTGGAAGTATGTACTATTTTTATATATGTATATAAATATATTTTACTTAGTAAAATTAAAAATATTGAATTCGTTCACTAAAATAACCAAACTTAAATAATAGTCTAATACAAGTAGTCTATAAAATACTTGCAAAAATTATTAGGAAAAGATTAATAAAATATGATAACAAAGTGATTGGAGAATATCATGGAGGTTTCAGATCAGGAAGAATAACTACTGATCAAATATATTAAAATTAATAGAAAATAATAACTACCAACAAAACTTAAGATTACATACGCTATTTATCGATTTTAAACAAGCATATGACTCCCTAAATCGAACGATGCTATATGAGGCCATGAGAACATTATAAATACCTGAAAAGTTTAAAAGGCTAGTGAGAAACGCTTAGGAACACGGTGAATAGGGTAACAACAGAAGGAAGCTTTTCAAGACAGTTCACAGTGAATATAGGTTGATCCGCTATCAACGAATTTATTTAACCTAGTAATAGAACAAATCGTAAGAAGTCCAAATATGAGTACAAACATGACTATTTTCAATAGGACTCAACAGGATCAATAGCAGGGAACAGTAAATAGCGAAAACAAAAAAAAAACATTTAGAAAAAGTTTTCCAGAAATTTGAAGAAGAAGTGATAAGATACGGTAATAATAAGCCAAACAAAGCCAAACCTCTCATGAAAATGAGAGGAGATATAACAAATACTAACAAATATTTCAAAATTAAAGAAACAGACACTGTTTATAGTTTTGAAAAAGTGTCAGAATTTGAGTACTTAGGAGTAACAATAACGAGCACGAGAAAAGAAGAAAAACAGATAGACAAAAGATTAATGAAGGGAAGCAGAGCGATATGATCACTAAATTCATTACTGAAAGCAAAAAATGTGTCAAGAACAGTAATCAGATCCACACTGATGTAAGCCAGTGAAAGGTGGATTATGAACCAGCAGGAAGAAAAGAAAGTAGAGATCAGGGAAATAAAGGTGCTCAGAAAAATATTTGGGGGGAATAAAGACCAACCATTTACTTTAAAAATACGAGTCCAAAGAGCTAGATGGCTTGGTCACATTATACGCATGCCAGAGAATCGAAAAGTTAAAACAATACTGAAGAAGGGAGCATTGGGGAAAAAAAAGAAGAAAAAATAAATGATTGGAAGACATAAAGTAAGACTTGTAAGAAATAGGCGTGAGAAAGGACTGATAAAAATGGAGGAAAAATAACCAAGTTTATAGAAGCCAGGGACATATAAGGCCTGTAGCTCGTTATATAAATATATATATATATATATATATATATATATATATATATATATAAAGTAGTTAGGTATTATTGACTGACACGTTATATAAAATAAAGTTTTATTTTGAGGATGCAGTCATTTAAGTAGGGCAGGATAAGTAAAACTCTTTGTTCTTAAATCAAGCTTTCGCAAAATTTATTTGCTTCATCAGGATATGCTAAAATATGTTATGGTAAATACAATGAAATTAGAATTAAGAAAAACATTGTATAAAACTATATAAAAACTTACAACATGAGGTTAAACCATTAAATTATTAAATTCACAAAACATTATTAATTTTTCCTAAATTATATTTTTATGCAAGTACAATATTTTAATTTTAAATATATTATGACATTGATTAATAATGATGTTTGATATATGTCAGAAAGACACTCGTGTCTGTTTTTATTATTGATAATTAGCTCTAGATTGTTATTATGCTTACGTAAAAAGTGGCGCCAAATATGAATATTTAAATTTTTGAAAATATAGTATTTATAGTCAGAAAATCATATATTAGAAAATTAAAGTATTAATTTTCGTAAGATAGAATGTAATTATAGATATTGCTGAGTTTGTTAATATCAGTTTTTTTATTAACGCATTGATATTTATTTATGCATACCATTTCTAAAAATTCTCTTTTATTTAATTGGTTTTCACGTCTTAATATATTAGTTTCATTAAAATTAAATGAATGATTATTATTAATTGCATGATCTATTAATGCACACGTATTTTTATTATTTCTAAGGTCACTTTTATGTGATGTTAGTCTACCTATTAGATTTCTAGATGTGTGTCCGATGTATGACTTATCACAATTTTGGCATGGTATTTTTATAACTTTGCTAACTATTCTCATATTAAAATTGCAACTAAAAATGTTAAGACATTAGCATCATTACTAAATCACCTATTAGCATTATGGAAAGCTCAAATGTAGTTTATAGAATACCATGCCAAAATTGTGATAAATCATACATCGGACACACATCTAGAAATCTAATAGGTAGACTAACATCACATAAAAGTGACCTTAGAAATAATAAAAATACGTGTGCATTAATAGATCATGCAATTAATAATAATCATTCATTTAATTTTAATGAAACTAATATATTAAGACGTGAAAACCAATTAAATAAAAGAGAATTTTTAGAAATGGTATGCATAAATAAATATCAATGCGTTAATAAAAAAACTGATATTAACAAACTCAGCAATATCTATAATTACATTCTATCTTACGAAAATTAATACTTTAATTTTCTAATATATGATTTTCTGACTATAAATACTATATTTTCAAAAATTTAAATATTCATATTTGGCGCCACTTTTTACGTAAGCATAATAACAATCTAGAGCTAATTATCAATAATAAAAACAGACACGAGTGTCTTTCTGACATATATCAAACATCATTATTAATCAATGTCATAATATATTTAAAATTAAAATATTGTACTTGCATAAAAATATAATTTAGGAAAAATTAATAATGTTTTGTGAATTTAATAATTTAATGGTTTAACCTCATGTTGTAAGTTTTTATATAGTTTTATACAATGTTTTTCTTAATTCTAATTTCATTGTATTTACCATAACATATTTTAGCATATCCTGATGAAGCAAATAAATTTTGCGAAAGCTTGATTTAAGAACAAAGAGTTTTACTTATCCTGCCCTACTTAAATGACTGCATCCTCAAAATAAAACTTTATTTTATACATATATATATATATATATATATATATATATATATATATATATAAGATATATATATAGGAGATCAGAATTATTCAGAATCTATACTGGAACCAAATGGCAAAGGTGAGGATTGATCAAGACCAATATACGGATGAATTTGAAATCCGGAAAGGTGTCCGCCAAGGCTGCATACTCTCTCCGATGCTTTTTAATTTATATGTTGAAAATATATTTGCGGAAGCATTAGAAGATACGGAATTAGGCATTAAGGTGAACGGCATACCAATTAGCAACCTACGCTATGCGGACGACACAGTGATTATAACTGATAATTTGGAAGATCAGCAGTTATTACTTGATAGGGTGAATAGCATAGGTAAAAAATATGGCCTCAAAATCAACATTTTGAAAACGAAATATATGGTCATTAGCAGAAACCCTCCAGAAAACCCGATATTATGCATAGGTGACAATCGTATAAATCGCGTGAAAACTTTTAAATACCTTGGCACCACAATCAATGACCAATCGGATCCACAACACGAGATAAAAACCCGAATACAAATGGCAAGACAAGCTTTTGTGAAATTCAGACCGCTCCTATGTAATCAACACCTAAACTTCGAAATACGCTACAGAATGGTCAAGTGCTACATATGGTCCATCTTGCTTTATGGCATGGAAACGTGGACATTGAAAAAATCATCTATCAACAAACTTGAAGCATTTGAAATGTGGTCATTGAGAAGAATGATGCGCATACCTTGGGTGGATAGAGTTCGAAACGATGACGTCCTTAATAGAGCCGGCGTGGAAAGAGAACTCTTTGAATTAATTAAAAAACGCAAGATTGGTTACCTTGGGCACATATTGAGAGGAGCAAAATATGAAATACCACAGTTAATCCTACAAGGGAAGATCGAAGGTAGGAGAGGAGCCGGCCGCAAACAATTGTCCTGGTTAAGGAATATTAAAGAATGGACAGGAATACACAATACAGGTGAGCTGTGTCACGCCGCCAAGAACAGAATTCTAGTAATGAGATAGTCGCCTACGCACTTTGGTGTATGGCATGTTAAGAAGAAGAATATATATATATATATATATATATATATATATATATATATATATGTATATATATACATATATATATATACATATATATATATATATATATATATATATATATATATATGTATATATATATACATATATATATACATATATATATATACATATATATATATATATATATATATATATATATATATATATATATATATATATATTTGCTTAAGTTAGCTTAGCTTTCCCAAGTCCCTTTAAAATAATGAAAATATAAATTGAATTTGTATTGTTGACCTTATACACAAAGCTGGGTAAAATGGTGTTAACGGGTTAGATAAACTAAATAGACAAAAAACAAAAGGAGAAGCTATTGTCTTGTCTTTGAACCTTTTGAAACAAAGTTTGTGTAGCCTGTCACTTGATTTCATAAATATTAAAGTTTTATATTAAAATTAATAGCTTCAATTTTTTTCTGTTGTAGTGAGTCTTTTCATTCAAACAAGAAGTCCTGATCCAATACAAGTTGATTTAGATGCAGCTATCAAAGTTATCAAAGACAACAATCTTCCTACAGCTTATTTAACACAAACAGAACAAGATGTCTGTGATTATTAAATTATAAAATATACTAAATCTACGATTTTCAGTTATTATTGAAAACTATGTTTTTTTAACAATAAAATATGTTTTGATGTAGATATATTTATTTCCAATCCAATCAATCCGATCAACGCGTGAGTTTGGTATACCAGAAAAACTTATCCGATTAACGAAAATGAAATGTCTAACTTTCCAGTGTTAGGATACAGAAAGAAAATTCTCGATCCTTTGAGATAAAGGATAGACTCAAACAAGGGAATGCCCTGGCTTGCATTCGATTTAACATTGCCTTGGATAAGGCAGTCCAAGACATGCGAATTAGAGACAGCGGTACTATTAAGAATAGATCGATACAAATCTTAGCATACGCGCCGATGACTTTTAAATAATAGGGCGTAGCAAGTACATGTTGGTTACTGAGGATATTATAGCAAATGAGGAATGGGAAACAGCATTTTTAAGTCATATTTTTGAACGTGTTAACAGCTTCACATACCTTGGCTCACTAGTAACTACTATCAATAAAAATAAGCGAAGAAATTAAAAGACGAATAAATCTTACAAATAAGGCCTACTATGGACTTCAAAAACAATTTTACTCAAAAAATATTCAAAGAAAAACTAAAATTATCATGTACAAAACACTGCTGAAGCAGGTCCTCACATACGGGGCGGATACATGAACTCTAACGCAGAAGGATTACGCAGAAGAAGGGCAGTGGCGCAAAATATTTAATTTCGAATTATACCAACTCTTTTTTATTAAACCAAATGTCGTAACGTTCATTAAAACACAGTGACTTAGACGGACTGGACACATAATACGAATGCCTAACAACATGATTGCTAAAAAGCTAACGACAGGAACACATATACGAAGAAGAGGCAGAGGCCGACCGTGAATTAGGTGGTTGGATGGAGTTATGACCGGCTTAGGGATACTACAGGTCAGGAGATGACAACACGTTACCAAAAATGTAACAGAATGGTGACTAATTTTAGAGCAGGTCAGAATCCACAGTGGATTGTCAAGCCAAAGATAATGATGATAAACTTTATCTATTTGTGCACCACCTCTTTTAGTAGTCGCGAGCCGCCACTGTTATACAGAGGTGTAATGACTTTCGTATTTTATGGTTCGTGATCTTCGTATTTTTGGAAGCTTTAAACAATAGGCTTTTTCATGAAAGTGGTATGACTAGACGTTAGCTTATTATCCGACGTATCTTTTTTACAAGATGTTTTATTTACGGTAAGTATGAGATTATGAGAAACTGATGCTAGAAGAAAAATAGTTAGCAGTAGATAATAGAGTGTCCCAATATAATACAAAATGTAAAAAACGGGAAGCCTTATGACAGAATTTGAAAATCGTTCTCAAGATTTTAAATACCAAGAAAACCATTTAACTTGATTCACTGGTGTTTTTACAATCAATATTAAAGGTCTTCTTCACTTACACACAAAACCAATTGTACAACTCAAATACTTATCTGATAAAGCATGTTAATGTTTGTTGTTTTTGTCAAGTACTTTTACTGAAAATTTAAAAGTATTCTTGTCTTCTAATAGTAATTTTTTGTCAAGATTTTTAGTAATTTGTCTTCTTCAACAGTTTTAGCAGCTCTCTTAGTCTTCCAGTCTTAGTGCATTTGGCACATTAGTGACTTTTAGTTTGATATGACTTATTTAGTGCGATTCAAATTATCTCTGGTTTGGCTTTTATTGCTATACTTAAGACTTGTTTACACTGGTAGAGTAATGATGCAAGTACTTGATAGAGTAGAGTAACTGTAAACACGCTAAGCACAGTGGAGTAGCAAGTAGAGTATATAGTAGGTGGTAGAGTAGAGTGACTAGCAACATGTGGGAAAGTAACTATATTTAACTACCACCAACACCGCTAAAATGTCCACTCATCTGAGCACTCTACCCATGGAACGCGCTAGATTCTGGTAGAGTAGAGTAGTCTAGGAGAGTAAATAGTGAAAATGAAGTGCACCGAAAATGCAACTTTAAAACTTGTAGAGCTGTATAGCGAATATCAGTGTTTATGGAATTTAGGACATTACAGAAATAAAAGTTTTCTTTATCCGCAAGCTGTGGATAATAAAATCGCCGAAAGAATGGCAAAGAGGGGCTTTGGAGTAAACGAGCGCAAGCAAAAAAACTAAGAATTGAAGGTGCACTTATAATCAAGAGTGCTGAAAAATACAAAAATAAAAAAAAATGGGTTCAGGTTTAGCCGATGTATACGTTCCGAATGTGAAATGGTTCAGTCCTATAGATGTAATCATGAAAGGTTAAAGAAGAGACAAGAAAACTGAAACCTTATAATTTAGTTACACGTGTTTATTACTTGTAAGTGAAAAATACAATTATAAATAAAAAATGTAATTTTATGAAGATATAAGTGAACGATTGTATATCAGATTTGGCAGTACACCGGTTGGCCACCATATAAAACTGTCCACCAGTATTTTACAAATTAAATGCCAACTTCATTTTGTCTGTTCGTAGACTTAAAAAACGGTCACTAAGCATTCCAGCCCGTTCCCAGCTGTCGTGTGTCGGATCCGTATATTAATGGAATGACAGCGTTTCTATTTACACTTGCGAATGTTTCTATTTGGAATTAACGAAATCTCACCATTTATTTTTCCCGACATACGACAAGCGGAAACTGGCTGTTAGTTCCGAAATTTGACTGACAAATCATGACAAAAATTGTACAATTCTTCATAAAGTTGTTCTAGTTAATAAATGTCTTACACAATACAAAATAATATCTCAAATTAAAACACATTCTTATATTGCCATGGAACAACTCCTTCATTGTTAAAATAAGTCGTTAAGCGATCTCTCATTTTCTTAGACATAACTGTTGACAGAGGCGCCATACGGTTTAAAAGTTCTTAGATCACTGATTTCGTTTTGTCATTGCCCTGGAATGACAGCTCCGTTGTCAGCAATTTCCTTATCGACACAGCAACTGACAAGAGGCTATAGGTTGCGTTAACAACTTTATTTACTGTTGTTGTCTGTACGGTTAAGTGTCTTTCGAAAACCCGGAAACGACTATCTAATATTCCGAAAGCATTCTCTGAATTTCTTCTTAAAATTAATCGTCCTTTCTACGAAGAATAGGCCATTGGGTAGAAGATTGTTCTTTAATGTTTCATATATTGCAATTTACATCCTTTGAAACCAACAAGGTTTCGACTTATTAGTTTTTTATTGGGAGGCGCCTTAATTAAAATGTGTTTGCCGTCTATAGCCTTACAGTAATTTGGAAATTTGGAAAGGTCCAATGCTCCTTAAAACCCTCAGCCACAGTGTTCCATTTGTCTCTGAAAGAAAGGTGAAACCGAAATTAAAAATTATCTCTTAACATATACTAATTTAGCTTTTATTTTATTTATAGTGATTCCTATATATTGATTCAGTGATGTAATTTAAAGGTTGACGGTTGACCTACACCTATACTTTACTGAATGCGAAAAAGCTTTCGATAAAGTAAGACATTACAAATTAATATCAATATTTATGCATAAGTACATTGACAGTAAAATCATAAACATAATCCAAACATTATGTTGGAACCAAAGTGCCACAGTTTAAAAAGAGTTAAACAGAGAGGCGTCTTATCGCCACTTTTGTATAATTTCTGTTCTTAAAAAAATTTTAAAAACGCGCTCAATAATATCAAAGTGGGAACTACCGTTAACGGAAAACTATTTAACAACTTATGATATGCAGATGACACTGTGACATTACAACCAGTATAGAAGACCTACAAGATCTAATTAAAAGCGTATGAAGTATGAATAGTGCTGAGATTGGAATTACTATAAACGCTAAAAAACCAAGTATATGCTATCTACAATGCCTCATATTGACAATAAATTGCAACGTGATAAAACAAGTATCAGTACTTAAGAACGTTAATCAATGAAAAATATCATCATACTGCAGAAATAAATACGATCATAGAAATTGCCAGATCAGCATTTATACGAACGGAACCACTTCTAACGTACAGAAATTTTAATTTGGAAATCAGACTACGTACCATTCGATGTTATATATTATTATATTTTAGTAGTATTATACAGGGTGAGTCATGAGGAACTTTACATACTTCTACCATATGTAGAGTCCCTCAGGGAGCATATCATGTGGCCACTAAAAAATGTCAACTCCTCTTCTTTATTAATTAACAGGGTGATTTGTGTAATTGACCATTTATTTCATTTTACTGTAGTGTTTATACGGCTCATTTAATTTTTTAATTTTTGCATGATACAGTACACTACCATCAAGCATTCGACTGGTATTAGCTAAACTAAAAAAATCCAGGACTGGCTTTGGAAAAATTAATTTAGGGATTCGTATTAAATATTACACCCTGTATATATATATATTTTTAAATGCAATAAGTGATTTTCAAACTACATAAATAGCCAATGAAAACGACATATGCGACAATGTTGTCGCATTTTTATTAAATTTTTAGTGAACGATCAAATCTTACCAAAAATAGAACAACCATAATGAAGTATCAAATTATAAGGTATTAATTTAAACAAATGTTATAAATTTCAAACATTTTAATTAAAATGGGTTCCTACAGCATAATCTAATACGTAGAAAATTAACATCTTTACTGTCACTTTGTATTATCTCTACGATAGAATCAATTGTTTTTCAATTTTAAATTTTTACTCATAGATCGTATTGGGGCATTATTTTCGATAAATAATAAATTAAATTGATTAAAAAGTCAAACCTCTTGTATGTGTTACTTTTTGTTGATTGTAAATGATTAAAATTTTATGTCAAATGATAATACATTGCATCAACTGTACTAAATAAAAATAAATCTAAAAAAGTTTAAAATGAAGGCTGGCGTTGACCGTTTAACGTTTCTTGATATTTTATACCCATTGTCATTATTGTCATTATCAGTTGTTATTTATGTGTACAAGAATCATCGAGCAATAAGACAAAAGAGGGAATGTAAAGGTAGTGGGGGTAAACATATTGATAGACAGGAAGTGCCATCTTGAGAGGCCACTTTAGACAAGGATAGACAGTC